ATTGTTAGGCCCAAAAATATGGAGTATAGTTGTTTGGCCAGCTTAGCCAAAGTTAGGCTAACAGTAGTTGCTGGGCCATTCCTGTCTCTCTCTGAAACCTGAGGGCATGCTTGCTTAAGCTGCAAAGAACAAGATAAGAGGTGGGGGCCGCATTCTTGTACCAGAAGTGCTAGGAACAGTTTGTTGGACAAATGGAGACTTGCAGTCTTCACTCCCTGTTTCTGTTCTTTATCTGTACCCAACTCCCTCTTTCCTCCCATCCTCTGGTGCATGACGAAAAAGCTGATAAGAAGCTGCTGAGGCATCATGAACTGTTTGTACTGTCAAAGAAGATAGATATGCATGAATATTAGAAACTTAACTAGAAAAGGGGGGTTTGGGGTTGCTTAATTATGACGCGACGGAACTGTCTATATAATCTCACTAGTTATTGTAATCATGGCTGGTTCTCTCTGGAGATGGGCCGCTCTCTATTGTTGTGTGCACTCTTCAATAAAGAGCTTGTATTGGACCTTGCTGGTGTTGCCTGTCTCTCACTCTGCGGTCAGACAACGAACCTTGCCGTCTGGGTTAAAAAGTCCCCGACAGTATCACTACTTTCCTGTTTTGAAAGTTGTGGTTTAAAAGTACAGGAAGAAGTAAAACCTGTTACCAAGATAGATTTTTGCTGCACATCCTGTTTAGTAAATTGCTTTGTGGACTTGTCACTTTCCACTGGTTGTTGTGAAAATGTGCCATGTTCCTGTGAGTTGTGATTATTCCAATAAAAGAAAGAATGAGCCAATTAGATTCAATCCTATGATGCCTTTGTTTAAACAGTCACCTGTAGTACTTCACTTGCTAGTAGTTTGAGTTTCAGTGTATGAAAACTGCAGTATAATTCTAACCTTCCAAGTTTCCTGTATTGGAGTTACAATTTAGACATCTACTATATCTGGGGGGGCGGGGGGAAGGGGGGACACACACACGATGACACCGTTGTCTGATGATTCAAGGAACAGAAAAACAAGTTAACTATCGGCATTTATTCTGTCTTATGTTCTTATAGGATGGCAGCAGAAATAGTCATGAGAGAATACAATAGACTTAGAGTAGACTAGCATTAGCAAGATATTAAGAACAGGAGAATACTCTTTCCAAGACAGCTTAGTACATTACAGTGATACTTGAGAAGCAATAGTGAAAGTTAACACACATACACGCAAAGACAATCAAATTAAAATGCATACAGCACTTTCTTGAACTGTAAGTACAGCAGGCGATGGGAAGAGTCTTGTATACAGAGGCTCTACGACGCACAATCTGGAAGTACAGGAACACCTGAAATAGTGGAGAAAAGAGTTCCACTCAAAGCGGAGATTCAGAATACCATTGGTTTTGTTAATACACTACCTTGAAATTTACTTAACTCTCACGCTGCTTGATTGCTTCTCATTGCTTCTAGTGCAGACCTGTATATTTTAAATAAATCTGCCTCAAATCAAGGAAGCTGGAGAGGTATGAGGACAGGATTTGGCTCTGAGTATTAATGGAAAAAAGAATCAAATACAAGAGCTAAGCCTTTTCCTTTTGTTAGACGAAGATCTTCACTATGTGTCTGAAATTCAGACCTTCCTTCATATGTGTTTTCTTCTTCCATAAAAGGTGAAAGTATTTGCCTACAGTTTGGGAGAGATTTTTAAAAGCTCCCAGCATTGGCTTAATTTCTTTCACTGAAGTCAAGGGGAGTTTTTGCACTGACACTAATGGGAGCAGATTTAGCTCAGCACTGAGTGCTTTTGAAAATGCCACCCAGGAACGACACTTTCTCCATAATCGACACTATTTAGCTTTGTGCAAACACAAGAATCACAATCACGTAAAGTTCTGCTACATGGTAATATCCCACAAAGCTACATCAGAAGCCTAATCCTGAACAAGTGAGTAAAGTCCTAGCAAACAAATCCCTTTTACAGGTGTGAGACTACATGGTGGAGATGAAGGAATGGTTATTCACCCCACCTATTGCCAGGGCACTGATCGAAGGGAGACTAGCAGATGTGGCAGTTGCTTTTCTCTGAAGCTCACTCAACAGTAGAGCCATGTGGGTTCCCTGTAGTAAACACCCACTGGCCCCATTCCTGTTTGCATTTGACATGCTCTGTTCCTTTTGCCAGAGCCGGCCTTATGGGTGGGTGATGTGGGTGACTGTCCAGGATGCCATGGTAGGGGGGTGTTGTGGTCAAGAGGCAAGGAGTGGGGCAGGCCTGGGGTGCGAGACCATGGAAGGGAGCTTGGGGCAATGGGGCATGTGCGAAACAGCATCCCGCAATTGCGGGGGTGGGGAGGGGAAAGAGGAGCAGTTTATTGAGCATATGCCAAACAGTCCATCTTCCTGGATGCACTCTATTCCAGAGGCCAAGCTGATTGGACAATGAGATTGTCAAATCAGTGCTCATCCCCACCCTAAAGTGGTAAAATATGCACTTCTAGTGGCTGATCCGGGGGGGGGGGGGGGGGGGGAGGGGGGGGGGGATGGGGGGGGCCAAGAGAGGCAGCAGGGCCCAGAGGTGATGTGGGAGTGGGGAGCCTGGGGAGCAGTGGAAATGGGTGTGGAGCCCGAGAAGGCAGCGGGGGTTAGGGGCACCAAAATACAAGTTTGCCCAGGGTTTGCCATTTCCCCTTAGGCCAGCCCTGCCCTTCACATTTCTGTCTCACTGCAGAATTTTGAAGTGCCATCTAATGTGGAATGCCCACCTGCTACCTGTGGTTTACCAACAGGGCTCTCCCCCACTAACAGATGGTCCTTGCTGCTTTCTGGCCTTGCATTTCCTGTCAGGCACTTTGCCCACTCTAATGAGAATACTTTTCCTTTTAAATTGGCTTGTGTCACTAAGGTAACTCTCACTCATTATTACTAGGGCCCTACCAAATTCACTGCCATGAAAAACGCGTCATGGACCATGAAATCTGGTCTCCCCCCGTGAAAGCTGGTCTTTTGTGTGCTTTTAACCTATACCATACCTATTGCACTGGAAGACCAGCATTTCTCAAATTGGGGGTCCCGACCCAAAAGGGAGATTCAGGGGGGGTTCACAAGGCTATTTAAGGGGGGGATCATGGTATTGCCACCCTCACTTCTGCACTGCCTTCAGAGCTGGGCAGCCGGAGGGTGGCAGCTGTTGGCTGGGCACCCAGCTCTGAAGGCAGCGCCCTACCAGCAGCAGTGCAAAAGTAAGGGTGACAATACCAAGCCATGCCACCCTTACTTCTGCACTGCTGCCTTCAGAGCTGGGCGGCCAGACAGTGATGGTTGCTGACTGAGGGCCCAGCTCTGCAGGCAGCAGCGCAGAAGTAAAGGTGGCAATACCATACCATCCCATCCTTGCTTCTGCGCTGCTGCTGGCAGTGGCCCTCCTTCAGAGTTGGGCTCCCGGGAAGCAGCTGCCGCTCTCCAGCTGCCCAGCTCTGAAAGCAGTGGCGCTGCCAGCAGCAGCGAAGAAGTAAGGGTAGCAGTATCGCAACCCCACCCTACAATAACCTTGTGCCCCCCCAACAACTCCAACACTGTGAAATTTCAAATTTAAATAGCTGAAATCATGAAATTTACTATTTTTAAAATCCTATGACTGTGAAATTGTACAAAATAGACCATGAATTTGGTAGGGCCCCACTTACTGCTGTGGTTCTCTAATACAGAGTCAAGTAAAAGGCTTATCTGCCGCTTCCCCAAATGCATATTATAGATGGCCAGCTTAGGCCCAATATGACATCCATTAGTTACATAAAGGGTGGGTAAAGCACGATCTCCCTTCTATATTAGATACAAATCTGTTCATTGATTGCATTTTCCATCATCTCTACCATTTGTCCTAGAAGTAAATTGATACATCACATCAGAGAAGCCTCTTGATTTATCAAACACTTACAAATATGTATTAAGTAAGTGACAAACCTTATTAGAATATCCCCATTTGCTTCCTTCTGTTAATATCTCTCTTTATTTGACAAAGAGAACACACAGGACACCACAGGATAGTGCAGAAATCAGAGCAGATGGATCCCTGTTTAAAAAGACAACATATTACAGTCTGTAAACTTAAGATGTACATCTAACTTTTCATTGACTATCACATTGAATGGATTTAAACTCAGACTAGAATATGGGCTTTCAGTGCTGCCTTTGACTGGGATGACAGGGCCATTATGGGGGAAAGGGGGCGGGGAAGATACATTTTAGTTAAACTTCTTTTACCAAAGGATTTTTGTCCCAGATTCATAGAAATTAAGAGAGATACCAAACCCTACTTGGTTATCTAGTCCATAGCTCTGCTTTTTACCCCAGTAGGCCCCTCCCTTTCCTGTCCCGTCCCCCCCCCAAAAAAGTATGCCCAATTGCTTGCTGTAGAAGGCAGAGAGACTAGTGCTGGTAGCAAGTTACCTCTTAAGAGCGCTGGTTTAGGCACCAAAGACTTTATTTTCACAAATTAGGAAGCAGAGTTATCTAATGGGTGGAGTTTACCCAATAACAACCCCCTTTAGCAGATGGAAACCAGACAGAGAATAGAGACTGGAAGCTCTGTTAGATGAAGTCAGCCCAGCTCCCTACCTGTGCAGGATTGTTCCTTATAGAGGAACCTCTGGGGTTCTGTCCACTTTCCATTTTAAATGTTTCCAGTGGTGGGATTTTTCAACCGGTAAACTGGGAGTCTAGTGTCCAGTTGATTTGCATTTAGGGTTAGGATGTATTTTCTGATATTCAGCCAAACTGTTCCTTTTCTTAACTTCATCCTTTTGCTAGTCCTCACACCACTCCTTAACACACCGCTCTGTACCTTTCAGATCTTTGTCGTTATAGCCCCCACTATTATTGAGTGTCAAAAACTATACATATTTAGCTCTGAATTTTCCTTAACGGTCAATGCAGGCTCCAAATTAGTTTCACTGCTCTTCTCTAATTTCCTTCCAATTCACCTGCATCCTTCAGGTATTGAAGATCCAGCAGGGGAAAAATATGTTCTAGATAGAGAAATTTTTGCCTTCCTGCTCTGACATAGCTCCACATTTTAAAAAGATTTTAGCTCCTATATTTAGGCTCCTAAGTGAAGCGGACAGGTTTTGAAGCTACTGTTGAGTCCTTTAGAAAATCATTTAGATGCCTAAATAGAAGCTGAGGTTTGGGGTTTTTTTTAATTAGCCTATAATATTTCTGTATAGATCCCCAAAACCTCCTTGGCTTTGTGTTGTTATTGCTCTATTGAATTTGTAATCATATATGTAATTTCTTGGCCAATATCACCCTGAAGTATATTTCAGTGTTATTCCTTTCCATGTCTTTCACAGAACATATATACGTTTGCAATTTTTTTTTCTTAGGAACATTAGGCTGAATCTCATTTTATAATTTCATGGCCATATTTCTAACCTTCCTCAGTCCCTTCATATTATTCCTCTCCTGTGTTCATATCACATCCCAATTCAGTGTGATCTAGTCATTTAATTTTCATATATTAGCTAATCTTATTTTTTCATTTCTTAGGCTTTTCTGTTATTTGTATTATGGTACACAAAGAGTTAACTCCGGAAACTACAATACTATAGCTTGAAAAAAAAACACATACACAACAACCTTGTTGACTGAACCACACTTTTAGAATTCTGTCTACATTCTGCAACACCTTTTCAGCTAATCGGGAGAACATTTGGCTCAGAGATTCATGCTGAGGGAGTAAGAGTCAAGATTTAGATAAGTAGTTTGGGCTAAATGGAGGTTGATTCTCAGGTTAGTATTATGTACAATGTCTGCATTACAAATTATCCAATATACATTTAATTTAGATGGATATTTAAATGTAACCAATGCCTCATCAGAGGGGGTTCTCTCTATCTTAGGTACGTAGCAAAACTCCACTTTAAAGGGGCATCAATTAATAATGGATAATTGCACTTATACTTTTCATGAAATTATCTCAGAGCCCTTTACAACAGTGCCAAGGAATGATCTATTTTACACATGGGGAGAACAAAGGAAAGAAGAGCTAAGGGACTTGTGCAAGGCTACACGGTGAGTCGGTCGCAGTTGCAAGTAGAACCTAAGTCTCCAGATGCCCAATCCTCTGCTAACTTCTAGACCACATTGCCCTCAAATCATAAGGGAAGACTCCTAGCAGCCGTGTTCAGATGGGGAGGAATCACACTGGGTGGAAGCTGGCTAATGAAAATGTAGCCAACTGATCTGCTTAGAACAATGACATGTTGCTTTAAGGGCTGTTCTTTGAGCATGAGCAAAGCAAAATATTAACTAGTAACTAACTGGGATTCCGTATCTTGTCCGGTAGAGAGTCCTCATGGCAACGCTTTCGCTACAACAGCAGCATTCATTCATGTCACTTGCTACTTGACATCCAAGACAACAGAAACAGAATGTTCCACACAGGCCTGGATAAAGACAAACAAATGAGGCTCACTCAATGTTCTCCCCTTCATTCACGCAGACAGTTAACTTTCACCACCGCTTTTAGGAGAGATGTAGAAATGCCTAGAAAATGGGAAGGAGAAAGTTAGGGATGTGCCAATGGGCCAGAGCTAGTGCAAAGGAGGGCAAGATCTTTGAAAGACCATTATAGCAATGTCATGTGAGGCTTTAATTGGCAACTCTTCTCTCCCTCCCCCTCATAATGAATGAAGGCCATTTTTTCACTTTCAAAAAAGGTGTGTTTTTATAGTAGATTAGCACACACACGCTTTAGTTGTCTCACTGTAAAATTCTAGTGAAGGCAAGGCATTGTAGTTTTTACCATGATGTAACTAAGCGAGGTGAACCACAGGTGGGGGAGATAGAGTTGAACTTGTGTAGATACACCACAAAAAGCTACATGAGCACTTTGCCTCCACTAGGATTTTACAGCAAGATGGCTAATCCATGTTAGTTATCAGCTGTAAAAACACACCTCTCTGGAGCTGTGACCCTCAGCAGATCCCAATGAACTTTCTCTAAGTGGGGCTGGAGTACAAGTAGCTGCTTTGTGTGAGAATGAGTGGGTGATGTAGCCATCTAGTGACTGGCTCTCAGAGTGGCTATAGGAAATACAACTACAAGCCACTCCTTTAAATAAATATAAAATAGACAAACAGGATTCCTCCATCCCCCATTTAAAGTCATACCCAGTAAGAGACTGAAGATATAATAGTAAGCCAAACATCAAGCCACCCGAAGCCAAAACAAAAATACAATATTTGACTATCCACTTACAGACTCCACAGTCACTGCAGCAGTCCATCAACCCGGTCTGCCAGGCATTACTTGGTGCATTAGCCACAGTAAGTTGGGGCTGTACAATGATGACAGAGGGAGAGGCCATGTCTAGTTTCACCAGCTGAGTTCAGAAATTTACATTCTGAAAGGAAAACAAGAAAAGGAACGGTTTTGCAAGTCTGTTAGGGACTAGCTGTAGTCAGGGTGTCTTGTGTCATTGTGGTGACACAATTGGAGGAATGTTACTCACATTTCTTTGGGAAATGGCAACATGTTTCTCACTTCATTGGAAGCAATGCTGTCCATTTGATAACTGGATAGTTTTGGTGGACACATGAGGCCAAATTGTTGTCAATGGAGTTGGACCAGGGATGAATTTGGCCCATTTTTAGTCCAGGTTATGAGTGGGTGTAAATTTTCATTCAAAAGCACATTTCTCCCTCACATCACACTGGGGCATAGTTCATTCCTGATTCAAAGGAAAGGGTGCCACTAACTGGATGGCAACAACATATCTTCCAGCAACACCTACTGGTTCCTTGGCCCTCTCCCAGGTGAGTTCTGACCTACTCTGAGCCTACTTAGCTTGTGTGCTCTGAGAACATCACCACACAATACACTATGGATGTTATCGCAGAAACGGAAATCTCTCTGTTGCTGCTGTTCTGCAAGAGAACACCCTGGGACCAGAGATTAGCCCCCAAGTCAGGATTTTCATGCTGCAGCTAACCCTCAATCCTTCCCTCAGGCAAACTTCCTTTGATTTCATTGATGACCGATCAAAGTCAAGAATGATTTTGGCAGCAGTAAACAGCTTTTCAGACAACAATGGGGGCAAGATTCATGAGGGGGACTTGGGTGCTGCAACACTCATAGTTGCAATGCTGAACGTTCAGGTATCCTGCTGCCACAGCGAATTCACAACACAGGCACCCAGATCCTATAGAGTGCAGAGGGAGACTTAGGTGCCTAGAAAAGCAATTCACAAAAGGCAGCACACTAATTTTTAAAATTTTATGGCATTAACCTTCACTGGAAGCATTAAACATAAAATAAATAAATATAAAATTAATTTTCCTCATTTGAAGAAGGATTTGTGGAGTTAGGATATTTTAAAATAAAGTCATTAAATGATTGTACAAAGTCTTAAAGATAAAAATAAAGTGTGTGTATGTATTCCATGCCTTTTCTCATTTTTAAGGGAAAATATTTTTAGGCAGTTAGTCCCAGATCCTCAAATGTATCTAGGTGCCTAACTCCTGCCGATTTCAGGAATAAAGGACAATATTTAATAATTTATGCACAGTGAATGACTCCACAGGAGAGAGCAACCTGCCTGAGAATACTCCACTGCCCAGTGGTTAGGGAACTCTCCTGGAAAGAGGAAGGTTCAAGTCCCTGTTCCACATTAGGAAGGGGGGCGAGGGGAATTGAACCCAGGTGTCCCATATCTAGGCTAAGTTCTCTAACCCAGTGGTTCTCAACCTTTCCAGACCACTGTCCCCCCCTCCCCCATTTCAGGAGTCTGATTTGTCTTGTGTACCCCACGTTTCACCTCACTTAAAAATTACTTGCTTACAAAATCAGACGCAAAAGGGTCACCGCGCACTATGACTGAAACATGGCCGACTTGCTCATTTTTACCATGTCATTATAAAATAAATCAATGTGTGTATAAATATTGTACTTACATTTTGGTGCGATACTTCAGCCTGTCTTTCACTTGTGAGCCTTGTCTGAAGCCCAAGTCCCAGGCAGCAGGTCTGAAGCACGTAACTTAGCCCCTGTGTCGTGGAACCCTGGGCAACTGCCCCGCTGGCCACTCCGTAATGCCAACCCTGCACTTGCAACCCCCTTAAACCTGTCCCTTGACACTCCTCCCGGGGGTGCAACCCCCAGGTTGAGAAACACTGATCTAGATGATTTAAGTACTCCCTGCAAGACCTCTGAGTATCCCCAGGGGTACATGTACCCCTGGTTGAGAACCACTGCTTTAACCAATGGCTAAAAGTTCCTGAGGGGGGGCACCACCAACTCCATTTCTTATCAGAAATGGGTTAGGTACCTACTTCCAAGAGATGGTTCATGGCTGTGAATCCAGAACAAATGGAACGGTCTCTGTCCAGCCTGGACTTAAGCCCCACTCCTCAAAGGGATCTAAGAGCCTAGGCCACGCCCCTCTTCTCAGTATTTCCCATTACCTAGATTAGGCAGCTCCCCACGCAGCATTCCAGCTTTCGTGGACCCCATTCTTAGGTGCCTAACTCTCCCTATGCATTGTATAGGGAGCCCAGGCATCTAATGCAGGGCAGTGGATTCCACTGGGTACCTAGGTGCCTAAAGGTAAGTCATTGCAAGGCTCAGTGTTACAACGCCTGAATCCCTTTAGTCCATTTCTAAAAAAAGGCATTAAATAACCATAAAATGCATTAACAATGGAGGAATAAAGACAAGTTATCTATGTATCATCATACATTTCTCTCATTTTAAGAAGGAAATATGCTTGCTATGCAGTTAATACACTTCTAAGTCTGTTAAACAAATGTACAACGTATTAATGACAGAGGAATAAAGGAGAAGTGTTATTACATTTCTATAGTAATCATGCATTTCCTCATTTTTAGAGAAAATTAGGTTTTATGCAGGTAGTACATTTCTAAATAAAGGCTATTAAACAACTGCACAAAGGCTGCTAAGTATTAGTGATAAAGAGAGAAAATATAACCTTAAATTAGTTATATTTTGCAAGGAAGGTGCTGGTGTATAGACATCTTTCAGGGATCTCCAAGGAAGTTTTTTAAAAAGTACAGAAAGTAAAAAAGGGCAAATTAAAAAGGGCAGAGCAAAGATAAAAGAGTCTCACCACACAGTGTCATCACACCAGCCAAATGGCAAAAACCTCTCTTCTGGGAGCTTAAGATAAAGCAGGCAAAATCACCGGAGCCAATCAGAAGGTATTCTTTAAACATGTGACCTTTGGCAGACTCATATCTCACATTTTAAATTGCAGCATGTTTTCCTTATCGAATCTGAAGATTTTTCTAACCCCATGGTCTTTTATGGAATTATTAATTGTCGCATCATAAAACATAAATTAAAGACAAAACAATTAAAAGGAACAAGTATGTAATTTCTTTCTCAAACTCCTTTTTTCTTTTTAGCATTAGCTTTCTTTGTTTTTTGATTCTGGACCATGATTAAAGTTTCCTCTTTACACACAACTTCTTCAGCAATTGCCTTTTAAAATTCCTAATAAACACTGTTTGAGTTATGTGCCTAACCTTTATTCCGAATTCCCTTATTGTGTTATTTAAAAGTAACTTATTTACATGGTTTGGTATTATGAATATAGAAAAATAGGGCCCTATACACATCCCAGGAGTGTAGTCTCCCCTCACCTTGGTTATCATGAGGCTTTGGAAAAAACAGCTGCAAATGAACAGTTTGGTTCAAATGAAATTACTTTTGACATAAATTTTGGATGTGGCTTCAAAAATAATTTTTTCATGGGAAAAATTGCAAATGGAGGTTCCGCCAATAGTGCTTGCATCTCAGACACTATCCTGGCTGATGTAATAGCTATTAGAAATGCAGTCTTTGTAGAATGGTCCCATGTAGAACAAATTGCCATAGGATCAAAAGGAAGACTCCGTAGGTGTGATAAAACTAAGTTTAAATTCTAAGATGTAACCAGATCTCTGATAGGAGAGTTGTAGCCCATAGGGCTAGCTTGCCTTTATTATATTCACTGCTTTGCCTTCATTGTATTCTGCCTTTCTTATACTCAGCAGTAATGCAAGGAACCTACAGGCTTGTATCCAGGGCCGAATTAATCTTTTGTGGGCCCTGGTGCAGAGAGGAGTAAGCAGGGGGCAAGGGTAGGAGAAGGCGAAGAGGAGTGAGTGGCGGGCAGAACCTCAGGGGGAAGACGCTGAGTGAGGGTGGGGCCTCGGGGCAGAGCATGGGCGAAGGGGGGGGGGGCAAGGCCTTGGGGCAGGTGCTGGGGCCCCTTCTCGGTGTGGGCCCAGCGCCACAGCACCATTGGCACCACTGTAAACCCGGTACTGTCTGTAACCTGTAAGACATTAACTTCATCAGTCAGTATAAGGCTTGAGGTCTTTGAACAAACAACAGAAACTTTGAACAAACAATCAGCCCAGCAGAAAACCTCAAGTGCCGGGGAGTTGAAAATAGAGTGTTTAAAAGTAATTTCTGACAACAGGAACATGAGTCCAACCACAAGAGTGTCATGGCAACAAATTTACGTACATAACAGGTGCATGGGTTACATCCGCAGATACCTAACCACAAGAGGGGCATGAGAAAACATTGACATATATGATAATAAGTTGAGATCATTGATATACTAACCTGTAGGACAAGTATTCTCAAACTGGGGGTTACAACCTTCGGGGGTGGCGGAGTGGTCATGAGGTTATCACATGGGAGGTCACAAGTACATCCACGAAACAGACAGCAACTGCCATAAGTAGAGCCCTACCAAATTCATGGTCCATTTTGGTCAATTTCACGGTCATAGGATTTAAAAAATTGTAAATTTCCTGATTTCAGATATTTAAATCTAAAATTTCATGTTGTTGTAACTGTAGGGTCCTGATCCAAAAAAGAGTTGCGGGGGGGGGGGTGTGTCGCAAGGTTATTGTATGGGGGGTTGATACTGCTACCCTTACTTCTGCGTTGCTGCTGGCTACGGCACTGCCTTCAGAGCTGGGCAGCTGGACAGCGGCGGCTGCTGACCAGAAGTAGTTTCAGTCGCTGGGGACCACCCCCGAGAGGAGATTTGACCAATCGGGGGGAGTCCGGGTCAGGGTGACCCATCCAGAAGTGGGTCATGTGACCCCTCTTAGAACTCCTCCCACCACCCTCTGCCAGTCAGAGCGCAGCACCATCAACCCATAAGTTCCAGAACCAGACAGAAGAGGCCATCTCTTACCAAGAACGTGTGTTTTAGAAGTCATGGAAAAGCTGAGGGGAAAGACTGGGTTGCATATGCCTGATTAGGGGGAAAAAAACATTTTACAAAACTGAACTTTACCATCTTTCTCACCCAAACCTATGTATTTACTTAAAATAAAAACCTCATAAAATAACCAAACCAATAAGCAAAATATATTTACTGGGCTTCATCCCTCCATCAGCCGTTGACGCTGGTGAATTTTCCTTTTCAGCTGTCTCTTTCCTTTTTCTTTTGTGCTTGTTTACCCTCTGGTCTAAGGATTTCTTATGTTTTGACCGTACTGTGGAGCAGACATTATTATTATAAAACACATTAAACTGTCTTGTAAACTTAAAAAATAAAATACTCATTAGGGTGTTTTTCTATTTAAAAAGTCACAGCTTTAAAACAAAATAATCCATTTCAGGCTGTACAACAACACAGGGTTTGAGTTTATTTCTACCACTTTAAAAAAGACCAAAACCCACACACACACACATTAAAAACACATCTCATTTTGCAGAATAAAAACCAAACTGCTTTAAAAACCAACTTTTAAAATCCATTTTAAAACACATTTTGCACAGCACCCTCTGTTAGTTTGAAACACACCATACCATCAGTTTGCAGCCATATACTTTTTTTTAAAAAACAGCAATGTACTTTTAAAAAAAACACACACGTTTTGCACAAACTCAGACCCCCCCAACCCCCAGCAGTTTAAAACACCAAACCAACAGATTGCAACAAAATACTTTTTTAAACACCCACACTTATTTCTAGCTTAGGCCCCTGAATCACTAACAATTTAAACATTAAAGCCAACTCTTTTAAGATGACAAACAACCCCATTTAAAAAAAATAAAACTTTTCTTTTGCAGAATGAAAACCAAATGGCTTTTAAAAACACATTTTGCACAGAAACCCGTTAGTTTGAAACATGCTATACCATCAGTTTGCAGTCATATACTTTGTGATAATTTCATGCCCTTGGGGAGATTTGGTGCAACAGGATTATTTTGCGCACAAAGATGTGAATAAAAAATATTAATAGTAAAAAAAAAAAAATGCCTTGTGGTACCACACTATAATTAGGGTTAATCACCATGGGTGTGTCCCTATAAGACACTAGTGGTGGGTTCAGTCTTTGCAAAAGTCGGTCATAAATATAGGTGTGTTTGTCAATGAACTATTTAATTGTAACTAATGTTATATATAATTTTGATTTGGAGTTTGTCAGGCAATATAGCCAGTTGTTTGGCAGAACCCAGGTTGAAATTCAGAAGTTCACTGAGCAAGCCATCCTAATATTAATGTCGGATTAATGGCTATATTACAGCTACAATGTTTTGTAATGTAATGATATATATTGTTAAACGTAATCAACTCATTGAAAATATAAAAGTCAGTTCCAGCTAACGTAACATTGTGTTGGGATAAGTCTTGTTAATTATTTGTTTTGAATGTTGCCCTTGTACAGTTTGCGTCATTTTGGTGTTTTGTTTAGAGATAGTAAAAGGAATTAAGTTATCAAATTAAAAGCTTCTAAATGCCCATAATATCAAGTCCCACAATGTTGAACCAGAAAAGGGACATGTCTTGACAGGTACTCAGCAACAATACAAAATCCTCAGAGGAGACCCAAGCCAAAAACCGGCTCACAGCACCTTGTAGATGACAGCTTTATTCTTCTTCTGCAGCAGCCTTGATGTCCTGACAGTTGGTTCGGGAGCAGGGTGACCAGATAGCAAGTATGAAAAAACAGGACAGAGTGTGGGTGGTAATAGGCACCTATATAAGAAAACCCCCTGAATATCAGGACGCTCCCTATAAAATCAGGACATCTGGTCACCCTATTCAGGAGGCACCTGGCTAATTAAATGCAGAGTCACAAGCTCCAGTGTTTGTATCGTGTGAAGGAAGCTAAGAAAACAGATTTTGGCGTAAAGCTCCAAGTGGTGAACTCTAACTCTGTAGTAACTATGGTCTGGAGCCAACGGCAGCAACCCACTGCAAGGACACCTTTTGGGGCACTGGTATCATCTTTGAAGCAATATGATCTCGTCCCCAGATGGCAGTATACAGAACCTGGGGGAAATTAATCATTAAAACATGGACAGTATTGAACTGAACTGATATACCACTGACACTAGAACACTAGAAAACAATATCTGTCTAAATGGACATATGTTAAGGGCATACCAAGTGTAAGTACAACCCTTAGCTATGAGCTAGTGGATGTAACCATATCACCGTTAGTAACCTGGGAAAAGGTCTGTCCTCTAATCAATAGCTACATCTATCCTAGGAGTAGCAATGGCTACCGTATGGCATAAATTAGTCCTGCATACAGTGTATACATATAGCACCATCCTATAATGTTAGAATTGGGAAAGGTCTCACATTTAATCTAGGATTCGCCGTAGCTAAATTGTATTGGTAAATACTGTTTTTAAAATATGGAACAGGAAGAGCCACTTGTTTTAATTCTTGTCAAGAAGTACCACTGAGAGCAGTTCAGGTATAGGGTCTGTGACACTGCACCCTAATTAAAACTCTTATAGAACTAAGATTACATCATGGCAAAAACCTTGGGTGTCCCGTCCACAGCCTCTTTGGTAGCTTGTGTGCAAGTGTGAAGGGTTTGTAAAAGGGTATGAAGTGGCTGTTATATTTCACAAGCATGGTATTCTGTCAGGGATGTGGGCTCAGGGTTTGAGGGTAGGGCAAATGCAGGTAGCACCTATCTGTTACAGTAAAAAGGCAGAGTGAGGGTATGCATGTTATGGGCATGCTGGGGCATTGTTCAAAGAGGGCAGAGTTAAGGCTTCATGGGCATTTACCTTAAAACTCTATTTCCTGGTGTGAAAGGGGTTAACTTGCCATTGGAGCACCCCCTCATGGCCAGGCAGGGTGTAGTG